GTACGAGAAGATCCACGATTGTCTACTCGCAAGAGATCGTCTGTCTTACACTTATCGCGACGATTAGTTTGCAACGAATTTTAAACTTGGATCTTAAACTGCATCCATACAAAGTGCAATTAACACAAGAATTGAAACAATGTGATTTCAGAGACAGGCTCGCATTTGCTAATGAAATGCTTAATCGATTTTCCAATTTTGACAATATCCTTTTCTCTGATGAGGCCCATTTCCATATCAATTGGTTCGTAAACCATCAAAATTGTCGTTACTGGAACAGTGAGAATCCCAAACTCAAATACCAGAAACAACTGCATAGTCCTAAAGTGACAGTATGGGCAGCAATCTCGGGCAGAGGAATAATTGGTCCTTTTTTCTTTGAAAATGCGCGGGGGCAAAACGTCACTGTTAATACCAAACGATATGTTCGATGTGTGTAGAACTTGAAACTTCAAGAACAGTGAATTTTAGGACTTGCTTTCAACAAGACGGAGCTACCAGTCACACTTCAAATGACTCCATGGTGTTTTGAAACAAATGTTCCCAGGCAAACTGATTTCTAAAAGAGGTGATATCCTATGGCCCCCTCGTAGTCCAGATTTGACGCCTCCTGAATTTTTTTTGTAGGGATACCTCAAACACAAAGTCTACAGTAATAATCCGAGGAACATCGATCAGCTCAAGCAGTATATCCGTGGTGAAATGCAGCAATGTCATCAGCATTACTGAAGAAAGTTTTTAATAATTTCCATTCGCGGTTAGAGGAGTGCCGTCGTAGTCGTAGTCGTCGTAGTCATCATGTAGATGATGTTATTTTTTTAAGAATAAAGTTCAGTTTTTAATTTATAATTCCTTAGTTTTATTTTAACCGTACCTTTTGTATTTATTTTGTATTTAATTTTTTAAATATGCACGTTCCATTGCGCCACCATGTATATAATAATTGCGGTAAATGAATAAAATTTTCATGTTATATCTCTAGTTAAGTTCAAGGCCACAGTAAACGATACAATTTAAGTGACTAGGTGTAAGTCGTTGTTATATACACAAAATATTATTTTGTTGTATACTATGCTTTGTATTATATGTATTTATAATTACAAGGTAAATTTAACAAGTAACTATAAGCATACGGTGTATACATTTAATTCATTGTGCAATCAGTGTCTTATTTGATGTGTGCATTTTTGCAATAATTGTTGGTGTGCTTAAATAAATAAATAAAAAACATTGACCGATCCAGCACAATGAAACTTGTTATATCTATAAAGTACCTATGTTCGCTTGTAGCGTAATCATATTTTTAAATTATCAATAGTTTGCATTCAGACCGTAAAGCTTTTACAGAACTACACTTAACTATACACAATGAAATCTAACGGCTTCGAGTTTCCACATCTACAGCAAAGTTTCTTCAAGGTGAAAACAGCTTTCAAAGAAAAAACGAAAGTACTTTTGGATATTTCTCATTTTTTCTTTTGTAGAATAAGTGTAACAAACGAGTGCACAGTCAACCTAATAGTAAGTGGATGCTGTGGCCCCTAGACATCATCATAGATGCGTTGTCACCCTTGAAGGCTAAGATGTTTAAGTGTCCGCTTTTCTGCACTCACCATACGATACAAAGCAGCATTAAGGTTTTATTTTACGCTGGTATTCTGTGAGAGCGTAGTCGTACCCCGGTCGAGCTGACCCATTCGTGCTACAACCTTTATATACTCGTAGTTTGAGGAGTGAACAAATTTTTGAAAAAAGAATATATAATAGGAAAGACTGTACCCTGTATTCTATTTCTTCCTCTCGTTGACTAAATCCTATAGATTTATGTTTTTTTTTTAGTGTCGCTGTTTACCGTATCGGTATAATCTCACCCTTGGACTTGATCGCCTGCGCTCATCAGTATGTTAGGTAAACAAGAAAATCACCAGCTGAGCGACCCTGGCGGAAACCGTACTGGCGGTCACTAATCAGCTGGTACTCCTCAAGGAGAATGAACTGTCGGTTAGTAATGGACTCCATTGTTTTTGAGAACGAAACAATGGCGATAGGGCTGTAGTTGGACGGATCAGAGCGGTTACCTTTTTTAGGGATCGGGTAAAAGAAAGCTGAATTCTATAAATTTGGAACAACGCCTAGTGATTAAGAGTACCAACCAACAACTTTTATATTTGTTCAGATTTTTTCTAGATTATTTAATTTTATTATTTTCCTATGCACTGTAGTGGTATCGGTGTATTATAAAATGTATGAGTATTTTTCAATGTCTGATATTTCCAATCAAATTCAGTTACCGTTACAGCCTTTGTCCGCTGCTGAACATAGGCCTTCCCTATAGATTGCCTCATAGACATGTGAAATAGTTGCCACGCTGCATAGGCGGTTTTAAATGCTCTAATATAAGAAAAAAAAATGGAGTGGATATTAAAAGTATTTAAATTTTAAATTGATAAGAATACAAAATTATTTGGTGGCGATCGTGTCGCGAGCTATCGGCGAGTGCCGGTCTTAGGCGCGGTGGTGAGAAACCCCCCCGCACTTCACATACTCCCCGCGAACACCGTCGGTGCTGTCGTAACGGCGCCGACACTTTTATCTACTATTTCTTTCCATATATTTAAAAACAGCGTTCTTTTCCCTAGTCGCGTGAGCGTTAAAGCAAAATAAAACTCTTCTTCTTATCACAAAAAGTAGCTTATGAGTCTCAAGTTTAAAGTAGAATCTGTTTCACGAATAAAATCACGTGAAAATATACGAACTAAAAATAAAGTATGAAATTGGACACAAAGTAAAATTTCGCGAAAACTTGGCCTTGGCTAAGGTACGTGGTAAGCGGTTTTATTTTGCAATTAATTCATCAAACGAGGACACAGTCCACTCGATGTTTAAAAGCTGTTCCCTATACACTAAGATATACCCTCGATAAAGCCATCAAAATGTTGGTGTCCATTAAGATGGACATAAAATTACTCAATATCATTAAAAATAGGCTCCGTTTCCTATACAATCGCCATCATAGGCTGCATTTTTCGGTAATATTAGTTATTGTGAAATCGACAACGCACACTTGCAGAATATTGGTCAAGTTCTACAGCCACAATACAGCCACAGCGAGACATACAGACAAAAAGACAAGAAATTGAAAATGGTTATTTAAGGCTTATTAGCATGCTAATAGCCCGTCATCAGGCATCATGGACTGATACTTCAAATTTATTTATATCTATGGACTATAATGAGATATTTCGATTACACGTTATATAGTGAGTTAATCAGTATTTCGATTAACATAAACTAGAACATGTCTGTATTAGAGATTGTAATCAAGATGCTCCCCTTTGCTCCCCCTCTGCTCCCCCTATCCCGTACCCGTGAGTATTCTGTACAGCGTGGCGGCTGAATTAGCTTTGTTTTTTCATTAATCTTCAGAAATTCTAGTCTGTATTTTATTTTGCAGGTAAGTTAGGTTAAAGGCTCTATTATGACCTACGATCGAATAAATGTAGAGTATTATTATGATTGAATACGAAAATAATTTTATTTATAGGAAAATAAATGAAAATGAAAATTTGTACATGAACGTTTAATTAACGTTTGTCCTGCATGGCTGACTTACCTGTGTGTGTATGTGTGTATGTATGGCTGCGAGCTCACGCGCGCGCCTGTGTGTGTGTGTCTGTGTGTGTGTGTGTGTGTGTGTGTGTGTGTGGGTGAGTGTGTGTGTGTATGCGTGTGTGTGTATGCGTGTGTGTGTTTGCTTGCGTATGTGCATGCGCGTCTGAATCTGAATCGTCGCGGGCGCAACGCAATTTTAGACCTTATGACGGCGCTTTTGAAGTTTTTATAGAAATTATGTTTCATTCGGGTCAGTCCGGCAATAGCCCGCTTCAACGGTTTTCGATGTGTCGCCTTAAATATAAATTCATAATAGAATATTTTTGTACGAAATATATTACTAAGTAGGTATATATAGCCCGTTAGCAAGCAGATGTGTGACACTTGGGCTGATCTCCTTGGGCTTGCTATAGACTGATTTACACATATTTTATGTCTATCATTACACGGCAAACGGGCGTAGGTAATAGAAGACGTAGTTATTTCTGTATTAATTTCACATAGACACGTATTACGAGCAACTGAATGCTAAGCCACTACGCCACGGAGCCGTCAAAATTCTTAATTCGATTGTATATATTAATTTAGTTAATACGCGCTAAGTTAACGCGATATCTTGCTAATTATATCTTATGTTTACGCGAACACTACACAAGGAATAAATTGAATTTTACAAATCTACTACAAGTCTTCAAGGTACTGTTAGCTCGTTCTACGTAGATAGGACCAGAAATATAATATTTAAAAGTTGAAGGTAGACTTTGTTAACCTTAGGACTCAGATGGAATGTTTCGTTTACTCTTAATAGGGTCTGCAGTTCTCTATATTCACCATACCAAACAAGCCGCATTAAGCTACTATCTCAAGCTGGTATTATGTGAGAGTGTAGTTCTTTTCCGGTCAAGACAACCCATTTGTGCTACAACAATGTTGTAACTGCAGCATGACTCTACCACGCTCATAAGTTCAGTTATATTGATGTTTTTTTTTATTAAAGGGGCATGTACGATGATATGTTATATACTGTACTTCAAAAGAAGTCCATGCGATATGTGGTTGGTATCCTACCATCACCCTTTTTTTTTTTTTTTTTTTGCGGATGGAAAATCATCTAATGACGCCTTTCGCTGTGGGTGGAGCGGAAGGGAGTGTCAGACTTTTACTGACTAAAAACCATCCGTGTTCCTTCAGTGCCCTTACGTTCCGGAGCCGCGGTATCTCTTTCGAACAGCCCGCAGCCCCGGCAGGCGTCGGCCCTTGCGGGCCCCTTCACGCTGCTGACAGCTCTTTGAGGCGCGCGTGGAACAAAACGCGCCGTCGACACGGCCTGTCGTCGTTAGACGGACGGACGGCGAGCTACCCATTGCTCGCCGTCCACAGGCCCGCGCCTACGGTGGTCGGGGGCCACGACGTAGCCCCCGACGCCCGGGGCGTCTCCCGCGGCGGCCGGGAAGGAAAGCTGTTGCTCTTTCCCTCTCCCGCTCCGCCACCTCCTTCGCTAGCATCACTGCTTCGCAGAAGGTGGTGACGGCATCCCATTCCGTCTCGCTCCGGACCATGGCTTCGACCAGAGCCGGACGCGAGAGGTCGCCGCCGCCTATCGCCGCTACGAGGACACGGCGGTGCTCCGCCCAAGCAGAGCACACCTCCACGGTGTGCTCCACCGTGTCCTCCGGTCGATCCTCGCAGTGGGAGCACCCGGGCGTTTCCTCCCGCCCGATTCGGTGCAGGAACCTCCCGAACACACCGTGTCCGGTGAGGACCTGCGTCAGGCGGAAGGTGAGGACGCCGTGGCGTCTCTCAAGCCACTCCTCAAAGAGGGGTCTTATCGCCGCTATAGTGGCGTGCCCAGCACGGGGTTGCGACAGTCGCTCTCTCCATGTCGCCATGATATCATGCCGGAAGTCTGTCCGCTGCGCGACAACTTGCCGCGGCAGCGGGGTTTCCCCCCGGCATAGTGCTGCCGCGCGCCATTCGTGCAGGCGCGCGAGGACTATCGCCTCCAGATCCCATGGCGGCAATCCGGCAAGGAGGCTCGCCGCCTCGCGGGAGATCGTGCGGTAGCCGCGAACCATCTTTACGGCAACCACCCTTTGGGGCGCGTTTAGGTGGTGGACGGCAAGCCGCGCCAAACCACGCGCCCACACCGGGGCCCCGTAAAGGGCCATGGACCTCACGATCCCCGCGTAGAGCCTCCGGCAGGAGGCGTTTGGCCCCCCCAGGTTCGGCAGGAGCCGCCTGAAGGCAGCCCCGGTCCGTTCCAGTTTGGGAGCCAAACGTCGGAAGTGCTCAACGAAGTTCCATCGGCCGTCGAGGACGAGTCCTAGGTACTTCAACGTCGACTCGACGCCGATGGATACCCCTCCTACCATCACTGAGGATCCCGGTGGTGGCCTGTTCCGAGGACCATGGAAGTGCATGGCCTCGGACTTGTGCAGAGCCACCTCGAGACCCAGTTGCCGGATCCTCTCAACGACTATCGCAACCCCGCGTGTCATAGTTTCCGCCGCCGCCTCGTACGACCCCCCTTGTGCCAGTACCAGCGTGTCGTCAGCGTAGCAAACTACGCTGACGCCGGTAGGGAGGTCGGCGCGCAGCACCCAGTCGTAACCGATGTTCCACAGGGGCGGCCCCAGAACCGAACCCTGTGGGACACCGCACGACATCTCTCGCCGGTTCCACTCTCCGTTTCGACCGGGGTAGATGACGGCCCTGTCCGTCAGATAGTCCCCGACTATACGACGGAGATAGGTCGGCACCCGGTGATACCGGAGTGCCTCCCTAATGCAGCTCCAGGGCATGGAGTTGAAGGCGTTGGCGATGTCGAGAGACACCGCCAAGACAACCCCCCCCCTGGCCACTGCATCCCCCGTCGTGAGGGCTCTCACGCGCATGATGGCGTCCACCGTAGAGCGCCTCTTGCGGAAACCAAACTGGTGTTCCGCAAGATCCGGCCCCGTCCCCGCAAGGTATTCGGCGAGGCGGTTTGCAATTACTCTTTCAAAGAGCTTGCCCACCTCGTCGAGCAGCACCACGGGCCGGTATGCGGACGGAGAGTCCGCAGGGCGCCCCGGCTTCCGAATGAGGACCAGCTTCCCCGTCTTCCAACGAAGCGGGAATTGGCCTCTCTCCAAGCATGCGCTTAGGAGCCCCTCCAGTCGGGGCCCGAGAGCCTCCGAGGCCAGGACCCAGGCTTTGCCAGGCAAGCCATCGGGTCCTGGGGCGGTATTCCTGGCCTTGAGCCTACGTACCGCCACTCTCAGGTCTACCCCGGTCCCTTCCGGGATGTCGTCGTCGTCGTCCTGGTGGTCCGCTTCCGGCACCGCAGGTGGCGGAGCCATAGGCGGGGGCGGATGTTCCCCGCGCGCAGGGAACAGAGCGCTCACCACATCCTCCACGAGCTGAGGCCGGAGACTCTGCGTCAGCGGGGGGGCCCAGGTGCGGAGTTTATCCCGCACGATCTTGTAAGGGCGCCCCCACGGATCTCTATCGAGAGTCTCCAGCATCTCCTCACGGGCCCGATCCCGGGCCCGCAGGACAGCCTCCCGGAGGGCGGTCTTTGCCGCTCTGTATCCCTCGTACAGCTCCGCCTCAATGGCTGCCGCATTCGGTGGACGAATGCGGAGCCTGCGATGCCTGGCGTACAGGTGCCGCGCGGCGACACACGCCTCGCGCAGAGACGTCAGCTCACGCGACCACCAATACACCTGACGCCGGGCGCTTCCTGGCCGGACGCGGGGCATTGCCACGTCACATATCTCGGACATGGCCTCCTGGAACCACCCTGCCTCATCATTGACGTCGGCAGGCCTGTCCGGTGATGACACCCAGGCCTGCACGATCGAGGCTTCCAGGAGGAGCTCCCGGTCCAGCTGCTTCAGCGCCCAACGCGGACCACTCGGGGCCTGTTGGACTGGCGCGCTCGAGGGCTGGGTGGAGACGTCAAACCGGATGTACCGGTGGTCGGAGTAGGTCTCCACCCCCTCCATGACACGCCAGTCAATGGCACGCGGCGACAGAGCGGGGCTAGCGAACGAAATGTCCACCACCGACTCGCCCCGCATCCGCACACACGTGGGGACAGAACCCCGATTTAGGACGACCAGGCCTGTCTCCAGAGCCCAGTCTTCCACCATCCTACCCCGCACATCTGTACGACGAGAACCCCAAGCCAAGTTCTTGGCATTGAAGTCCCCGAGGACAAGTACGGGGAGGGGATTACTTCCGACGACGACTGCTCTCAGCTCTGCAAGAGAGTTGTGAAACTCGGCGAGAGATCGGTTCGGGGAGAAGTACACCCCCACAACGACGAACTCCCCGAACCGTGCTGCTACGCACCCCTGACCCCTCCTGACACCTTCAAGGGTCGGGGTACCGGCGGCGGCTGAAGAAATGATGGCCACTGAGCCGTTAAGGTCCGCCACCCAGTCCTCCCTAGGCCAGACAAAATACGGCTCAGCGACCACAGCGATGTTGATCGACCACTGCGCCATGCTCTGGAGCAACAGATCCTGAGCGCAGGCGCAGTGGTTGATATTCGCCTGGAGGAAGCTTAATGGGGCCGTTATAGGCATTCCATTTCAGCTTCCTCCACGGGGCGCCTCTCTGCGGGCGTCGGTGTCGCGGCGGCGGCGGCAGCGACAGTGACAGCGGCGGCGGCGGCGGCGGCAGTCGCGACTGCGGCGGTGGCCACAGAGGCGGTGGCGGCGGAGGGCCCTCCCCTACCCGCGGCCTTGGCCTTGGCGGGTGGCACGCAGGCCTTGCTTCCGGCCCGGTGATCGGCTGGCTTGCCGGTCGCCGCACATGCATCACAGTGCGGCGTGGCGCAGCAGGTCGCCGATATGTGTCCGGGCTGACAGCAGCGGAAGCAAAGGCCACTGCGGTCAACCTCCGAGGCGCATTTCACAGATACGTGGTGCCCCACGAGACAGCGGTAGCACCTCAGAGGTCTGGGCTCCAGCAGCTTAACCTGCGCTGAGACCCAGCCCACCAGAAGCCTTCGGCCCTCCACTATGGTTTTGGCCGCCGTAACAGGGCAGCACACCGTGGCGGCATGCATACCCTGTTGGTCCGGGCGTATGGCGCCTGACCTGACCTGGTCAGTAGTGCACCCCCCGGACCTGGCGACGGCGGCCACTAACTCCTTCTCCGATACCGAGTCGTCCAGACCCATGATGCGCAGGTCTGCGCATCTGACGGGCCTGGACACTCGGGCCTCGTCCGCGTCCAGGGACGCTCTGAGCTTCGCAGCCAGAGCGTCCGCGGTCGCGCCACTGGATTCCCCGGGGATCTCCAGCATACGGGCCCCCGTCTGGGTGACTTTGAGCCGGAGGCCCCCGGTGATCCCGAGCTCCCCGAGATCCACCGCCTCTTTCGCCTTCGCGAGCAGATCGCGGTAGGTAACGCCCTTCTTTTCCGCGTCCGGCTGTAGTGTAATCACTACAGCTGCGGTCTTCGGGGCGCGGAGCCTAGCCGCCATCTTGCGCGCCCTGAACTGGCGCTGCCGCTCCTGCTCTTTGGCCTTTTTGGCTGCCTTCTTCCCCTTATTTTTGTCCCCGACCACCTGCCAACCGGCTTCAGCCGTGGGAGGTGTAGGGAGCTGCGGGGGCGGTGGCGGCGGCGGCAGCTGGCTTGCCGCTGGCGCTGGCACATTCGCCGCAGGCACTGGGGCTGGCGCAGCCACCACCTGTGCTGCCGCTTTGCCCTTTTTTGTCTTCGCCTTGCCTCTCTTTCCCGTTGCCGGCTTAGCCGGAGCCGGTTCAGCCGGTACCGGTTTTGCCGGAGCCGGCTTTTCAGGGGGAGGAGGGGCAACTGCAGCCCCGCCCGAAGGCTGGCTGGACGGCCCCGGCCTGGATGCGGCAGCTGTAGCCGCCGCGTACGAGACCGTTGCCGGCCTCGCCGCCGTCTTGTTTGCCCCTAGGGGGGGGGGCGCAGGACGATGCCCTCCAGCACGGAGAACCGGTGCTGGAAGGCAGCCAGCTCCTGCCGGACCAGGTTCAGAACCTGGTTCTCCACCGGCACGGGCTGGCTTGGGCGCTGCGTCTGGGGCGCCGCGCGAGAGGCAGGCTCACGTAGACTGGCCAGGTCTGCGCGGAGCTTCTCGTTCTCCTTCTGGAGAGTCTCCATGGCGGCCGTCAGGCGGGCCACTTCCGCCCGCAGCTCCGCTACCTCGTTTACATTAAGCTCGGCCCCAACAAAGTTGGCCTCCGCAGCCGCCATGATGGAGGCGGAGGCCGCGGGAATGGCCTTTAACTTTGAGGAGGCCTTTTGCTTGTGGGCCACGACCTTGATCGCGGCCTCCACCTCCTTTACGAATCTGGCCTTACGCTCCACCTCGGAGCCGCCAGTCGCATCCGTCTCTTCGCCTGATACCCGAGCCGTATCGCCCGGGTGGCGCCCCTCCTCGGCATGCTTTGCCGCTTGTTCGGCCCTCTGATTGTCAGAGGGCCCCCTCCCCTTGCCTCTCAGCCCGCCCCGCCTGTTGGTGGGGATTTTCCGGGCCGAAGTCTCCTCTTCTCCGGCTGACGACCCCTGGTCGCCATCCCGCCTGGACCGCTTGCGGAAGAACTTACTGGTCTCCGCGGTCCCAGGCTCCACGCGTCGGGAGCTCTCTGAGCCTCCCACGCTGCTCGATGCGGCGTCGGACTCTGTCCCCGCATCGTTCCTCCTCTCCTCTACGTTGCCGTTGCCGGCGGTTTTGGTTTTTTTTTCTTTATTTTCCATATTTGTACCCACGAGTATGGGAGTAATTAAATGTCCACCTTGGCAGTGACCCCTTACCAAGGTAAGCAGATTTAGAGGATTTATTACTCGCCAGGGGGTCTGCAGGTACCCTGGCGAGGAGCGCACTATCGACTGATTTGTTCATAGAACCCCGTCAGCCATCCATCCCCTCGCGGTGCGTCGCCGCTTGAGATTCGGGGTAACTTTTTATAGAGGTTTTCTCCCTCGCGGTCCGGGCGGTTAAACCAAGACCCTCGGTCCCAATCAAAGCCGCGAGACATGATCCACGACACTTCGATACTGGGATTACGAGACCGGCGGTGACAGCAAAGGATGAATCCTTCACTGTCTGCCCGGAGGCAGGGTAAGTGCACACCGAGCCCGCCCTCACTCCTCTGCTATGCCCTCTGCTGATCAGAGGGTCACGCAGTGGAACGCGCCGTTGGTCCGGGACGGACCCCACCCATGTCAGAATAATTAGCCGCGGCAGTAACCTTCCCCAAGGAGTAAGAATTTCTTCTCATTTCTCGAGGAAGATTACTGCCGCGCCCAGGGTGCACCGGCCCAGTAGCTGCTCTTCCCTCCAGACGTATCGAGAGGGACCCGCAACTACCAGGCACACGTGGAGGACTTCTGACTTCGCACCCCATCCTACCATCACCCTATAGTTATATGACGTTGAAAGACAATAGACAGTTTAGTTGTTTGGAACCGATTTCTTTGCGCTCTATTATTTCTGACTTTGTAGCCAAAAGTCAGAAATAATAGAGCACATGCGATATATATATATATATATATATATATATATATATATATATATATATATATATAGCTTCAGCGGCAATCACAGCGGTGTGCTGATGAATACTGGTGAGTCGAACCCATTTTATTACGATTCCGGTGCCGAATGAGAGAGCCTCATCAAAGATTTGTTGCGACAAAATTTTGTGGCAAAAGTGTAAATAATATTGTAAATTTAACCGGGGTCAGTTATGTTAGTGTGCAAAGTACCCTACAAATACCCCCATGATCATGTGAGGACGATCCCCGATCACCAAGTTCCTAGAGATTTAGATGTCATAGTTGATGACAGTGGTAGTGAGACCAAATTTGATTAAGAATGGCTTGTATACTCATACTCAAAACTTTAGACCGCACCTCATGAGTAACATGTGGCGATGGGTCTGTAGAGAGTCATTGGTGCGATTCTTGTCTATGTTGGTGCCCCTCATGTGTTGTAGCATGTTTGGCGGCAGATATGTTGAGAATCGTTGGTGCGATTCTGGCATATGTGGCGGCAGATGTGTAAAGAATCGTTGGTGCGATTCTAACCTGTGTTGGTGCACTAAGCCCCTAATACATTGTAGCATATTTGGTGGCAGATATGTAGAGAAAAGTTGGTGCAATTCTGGCATATGTGGCGGCAGATATGTAGAGAATCGTTGGTGCAATTCTAGTCTGTGTTGGTGCACAGAGCTTCTCATGTGTTGTAGCATATTTGGCGGCGGATATGTGGAGAATCGTTGGTGTGATTCTGGCATATGTGACGGCAGATATGTAAAGAATCGTTGCTGCGATTCTGGCCAGTGATGGTGCACAGAGCCCCTCATGTGTTGTAGCATGTGTGGCTGTACATATGTGGAGAATCGTTGGTGCGATTCTAGCATATGTGACGGCAGATTGTAAAGAATCGTTGGTTCGATTCTGGTCTATGTTGGTGCACAGATTTCAATGAAAGTTTCACGAGTTGAATATAAATCGCTTATGAATTGTAAAGAGTAACAAAATTGTTAAAATTACTGTGTTGTAACCTGTTGATCGGACCTTTCACAATAAATCATGTTGTGCTGGAAGCACTGCGTACGAAGCCTTAATAACAGGGCATTGTCAATTATGACAGTAGAGTATTGTACTTAGACTTAGGAGAAGTTAAGTACCATTTGTAATCGACGATTGTTTCTATTGGCAGAATGGACGACCTAGATTAATCTCTGAGCATATTTTGTGTACAGGTACTGCAAACGAGGACGGATGCTAGTCGAGGATGGCCGTGTCATGGCTTGATGGCGCCATAACGCAACAAGCAGCGCCATCTATCAATTATTCAACGTCGCCCATCACCGCCCTTGTGGCTACAGCATTACAATTATATTTTGATTAATCATTGTTTACGTGCGTGTTAAAATACGGTAAATGTTTACTTATAATGATAGAGTCATGATAGCTCATAAACTAAGTGCTCGCCGTTAATCCGACGGCCCCGTGGCGCAGTGGCTTAGCAATGAGTTGAGGCAATGAGGGCCGCAGGTTAGCATACCGCACGGAAACAGTATTTGTTTGGCCTACAAATAAATGTTGTGGGTCTGGATGTTTGTCCCTGTGATATATATGTAAACTGCCTACACGATACAGGAGAAAATCCTAGTGTGGGGGGTGTGGGGGTGTAGCATTTTCTTTTAGTACGCGAGCAGTCTCGGTTCGATCCGTTTTAAGTGCTGAATTGACACGTGTTCGGCGGTGAAGGAAAACGAAATGTCTGGTAGAGCCGTGCTGCAGCTGTATTAGTAGTATAGTTGTAGTTGTGTCAACAGTTGTGTGTACGCTCTCACAGAATACCAGCGTAAAATAGCAGCTTAACATTGCTGTGTTTCGTATGGTGAGTGTAGAGAACCGGAAACCCGTTTTACTGGAAAAGAGGCATTCCATCTTAATCCTCACGGGTGACAAGGCATCTGTATTTTGATACATTTTTGAGGATAGATGTGGATCTCTATGGGTCACAGCAAACACTTAGCATCAGGTGGACTGTGTGCTCGTTTTTTACCATATCCTATAAAAAAAATGGTAAATTTATCTTTATTTGATAATAATCTTTATTAATAATTGTACGGTAAGCTAACTGTGCCCGCGACTTCGTTCGCATAGAATAATTTTTTATCGGATTTTGTTAACATTTTCATGAGTTTTAATTTTTATGCGCGGAACCCTAATTCCTATTTTAAAATAAAAGTCGCTAAAGATACTTATTTTCAGCTACATACAATTTTTTATAATTATCGTGTATACTTTCATATGCATGTAGTTATAAGCTCTTATTTTATCATTACAAAAAAACAAACACTTCAATTTTTTACTTTATTTATTTGTATAGATGTGTGAAGCCACTGATTGCTGACTATTTCAAGGACATGTGAAGTCCATCAGCATGCATTGAAGCTCTCTGATATGATAATTTATTATTTTATTAAAAAGGTTTTACTTCAGGTCTGGTCCCATATAAATTTGAAGGAGAGAGAGAGAGAGAAAATTAAGTTTTTTTAATGTAATTGTTACCATAACATTGATATTGTGATATTTCTTAGTCCACTCTATTCTTGGGGATTTAATGCTTCTATAAAAGATGTCTTCGCATCGACTTCAGAATGTAAAATTATTTTATTAGTTTCAGTTGTTTGAAGTCCGCTTTTACATTTTATTATAAGTTACGCCGCGTACAATCAAATACATTTGAACTTCGGGTGGTTCATTGAGTCCAAGGCCAAAGCAGCTGCAGGGAAGCTGGGAGTCCTTGCAAAGGTGCGGCGATACTTCACGCCGGGACAGCTGCTTACTTTATATAAAGCGCAAGTCCGGTCGTGCAAGGAGTATTGCTGTCATATATGGGCTGGTGTTGCAAAATGCCACCTAGCAGCTCTAGACCCAATAGAAAGGCGTGCTAAGAGGCTTATTGGTGACCCAAATTTGGTTAAAACCAATCTTACCAGTCTCGAACACAGACGTAAAGTAGCCAGCCTTTCGGTTTTCTACAGGATACATTTCAGAGAGTGTGCGCAGGAATTACATAATTTAATTCCACCCTCTCCCTTCCACCATCGGACAACCAGACGTTCGGCCAGTCTCCACCCTTTCGTTGTTGACTTACCACGCATTCGAACCAAACGGTTTGCCACGTCGTTCATCATGCGTACAGCAAAGGAGTGGAATAAGTTGCCATCTGTCTTTCCATCCGATTACAGTGTGAGTGTCTTCAAGGCAAGAGTAAATAGGCTTTTGTTAAGTCAGTGTGCTTCACCATCTTAGGCTACATCACCACTTACCATCAGGTGGGATCGTAAATAAGCGCTAGCTTAGTAGAATATAAAAAAAAAACATTTTGCTACCTGTGCTATCCTTGTATAAAAATAATTAAGCCAGGTAACAAAGTCGTCGGCATAAGATGGAGTGTTGTGTGAGAAATGTATAATTGAATGTACACAACGCCCAGTCAGACTACAAGGGTGATCAGTTTACCATTAAGAGATTAACTCTAAAGCCTCAGATTGTGACGTTCACAAACTGTATTGATTTGTGTACAAAACGTTGTAGTGTTACCAGGATTTGTATAGTAAAGTTTGTTAATATTTTAAAAAGCAAAACCATATTTATAATTTGTTTGTTGGAAGGGTGTGATGAAGAGAAGCAAAGGGAAAGAGGTGGTGAATGCTCTAAGCATACCACACAGCCGGCTGCGTGGTTATGTGGGACTCACTGTGAAACCTACGTACCTACCGACTAAACACCACCTGGCACTGTTTTTGGCCTGTATGGCCTTTCTGCTAAATTGGAAGCGACTCTCTTTAGGGAAAGGGGGCACAGGCGACGAGTAGCCGCTGAGAGGAGCGCCTAACTAAAGCAAATAAGAATAGGGAGAGGATTCAGCCTGAGCCGCCAGGAGGCAGTCCAGGTCGAACGAAAGCTTCTTTGGGGGGTCCGAGAGAGAGCTTATCGGCCTTCGGACTCGATAGCGAGAGGGAAGTGGGGCTGCATAGGAAGCTGCCTCACGAATGAGATGATAAGAGTGAGACTCTGAGGCTTTGAAGAAGTTCTCAGAGAGTGATTTTAGAAATTGTTGGATTGTGGGGAGTTTTAAGTCTCGACGGAGGTCGGCGTTACGGACGTACCAGGGTGCGTTCGTAGCCCGACGACAAAAATAGTTTTGAACTAATTGTAGTTCGTTCAGGTTTTCAGGCTTAGCGTGAGCAAAAATAGGGGCCGCGTAAGTCGTAACTTGTCGTATACAGACCTTATATAGGGTTCGCTGGCTGGCACACTTATTATACTGCTCCTAATCAAGGTTGTGTGCTTTTTACGTAATAACTTGTGTTTTACGTAATAAAGTGTATTTTTCAAAAGCGACATCTTTCTTACATTTCCTTAAGTAACCGCTTCAATCTGCCAAATATACACTTTTTTTATTAAACTGAAGTGGCAAACGTACTTGCAGTCCACCTGATCGTAAGCGGTTACTGCAGTCCGTAGACACCTGCAGTCAACTTCAAACAAAAAAGGATATAAATGTTGTTCAGTAATAAATCGCAACTCGCAAAATGTATACCGAGGCACAATGATTTGCTACGATCTGAGGGCTGGTTATACCTAGTGGCAATATTGCAACGTAACATGCCTTGTAATAGTCTTTAGAGTTAAAAAAAGAAAAGAAGAGGGTAGGAAGCTTGTGAATATATACATCTCTTTTGTGTCATCCTGATTTGAATATCTCTCCAAATAAAACTGTAAAAAAGGACTACTCTAGAGTTTACCGTGTACAATCTAATTGCTTGTGTAGTCTACCGTGTAGAAGAAGTTACCAGGAGCTGTCAACGATTGCTAACGGAGTCTGACTAGTAAGACCGTGGGTGGTTTATTGCTGTTTTGGTGTTATTTTGTGATTGCGGTAACTGAACATTTCAGGGAATTTAGAATCTCAATACAGTCCACTATACCTAATAAAATAATCCCGATCTGCCACAAATTTGTTGTCGCCTCCGAAGACTGACGTGAAATCACGTGAAACACTTACAGCATGTAATTGTACTGGCTCTCTATACCCTGACCAAAACACAGCAGTGACAAATGAGCACACAGTCCACCTGATGGTAAGTGGTTGCTGCGACCCATAGACAGCTATATCTATCTTCGATTACGAATCAAAATGCAGATGCGTCGTCACCCGTGAGGACTAAGATGGAATGCCTCTTTTCCAGTAAAATGGGTCTCCGGTTCTCTACACTCACCATACGAAACACAGCAGTTCCAAACACAGCAGCATTTTACGCTGATATTCTGTAAGAGCGTGGTCCTTCCCCGGTTGAGCTACAACTATACTACTAATATACATAGCTGCAGCATCGTTCTACCACGTAAAAATGTACTGCTGTTTGGCGACAGAAATAGGTAGAAAGGTGGTACCTATCCAGAAAAGGAGTCCTACCACCTAGTAATACCATACTATATCATATAATTTATACAACACCTACCATCAGGTGGGATAGTAGTCAAGCACTGGCTTATAATAGTAAAAAAAAATAATATAACTGCTGACTGATGACGACGATGTAGTATGAGTTATCAAGTAGAGTATAGAAGTAGGAGATAAGTACGCTCACCCATTGACGTTATATTTAATACGTTCTAGAACAGACTCATATGCATACACTCGGGCACTATAATTCTGTCCTACACAGATGGCTAGTCTCTGTTGAGATTAGCTGACGTAACTGGCCCTCTGTCTGAAGGACTTTACTATAGCAGGACTAGGCTTGAAAGGAGACACAGGGAACACAACAAACACAGAGAACCTTCTTAACGCACAAGCTATGTAAGTTTAAGCCTAGCCCGTCTCGGCAAGTGTTTATTTATTATTTATTAACTCTTTATTGTACTTGAAAATACAAAATAACGAGTACAGTTAAATCTAAAGTAGAATATGTACCACAGGCGGTCTTATTACTCTGAAAGTGAATTCGTCAAGTATTGTAGTAAGTAAGTACATATTACTTTAAATAACTAAGCTGAGAAATAATTCATGATCACAAATTTAAGGTTGGCTGATGTTTCGTTGACGTTAAACTTTTTCTGGCAAAAAGATTAACGGTATCAGCCGGCAGCAGCAGCAGTTAAATTTAGTAAAAATTTGATTGAATAATTCCTCGAAGTGACATATTAAAACATAAGCTATCGTTGGCAGAAACGTAATTTAATCTCACCTAGTGACCGAAGGTATCGTTAGAGGCGACTATCTTCTACGGTCGTTAGAATCTTATGGCTTCTGATATTATTATTTCATCTTACATCCTATCAAAGTCCATTCCTGAATATAGGCCTCCTTATAAATTGTCTCATAAGAGGGATGTTTGCCATATTTGTCACGCTTATCAGGTGGGTTGGCTACTATAGTTTTTATTTTTATTTTCTCTCAATCTTCTGTTTTGTTTTTTTTACGCCACTTGCGATACCCATGGGACGATATAGGGTATTGGATATTCCTACACCGCTACTACACGGTCAACGTCTTCTAATATAATAAGGCGATATGTCAGACTTATCTACGCCAGGTGTAAAATATCTAAATCTGCCACGGAAAGAATGTTATAACAAAGTCTCTCTGCAACAGGAGAAATAGATGTTAAAAAGTAATTCTAACTAGCAATCTCATCACCTGCCGATAGCTTCTCCGTTTATTCTTGGTGCTAACTTCTTTTTAAGGACATAAGTAGTGGTAGACAAAGGATTTTATTTATTTATTCATTTACACATTACATTACAGATTTATTTATCTATTAAATAATTGATTAAATAATTAATTCAGCTATTTATTTCTGTACATAAAGGCAATGGTCCACCCCTTGCCGTAAGAGTGACTTTGAGAATATAACAAAGTGGGTCCATAATAATGGCATAATCCTTCATTTTAATAAAACAAAATGCATGCATATACACACACTACTAGGAGGTGGAGGAAATGTATAATGATATCTCTAGAGTCATGCATTCCTCCAAAACCCACTATACAGCGTTAATCCAACGCGCTTGTGCCTAGGCACAAGAGAGAAAGTTGAGCTGAGGATAAGGAAATTTGGGATAGGGCAAAGGAACCCAAGGGGCCAGCAGCTGGCCGATTTCATGGAGAAAGAGGGACTCTTTATGATGAACTCTTTCTTCCAGAAGCGGCCCCACAGGAAGTGGACCTGGCCGCGCCCCGACGGTTCGACAAAAAATGAGATTGATTTCATAATGACGACCAGACGACAACTGTTCAGTGATGTCTCAGTGATTGCGAGGGTGAAAACCGGCAGCAATCACTGAATGGTGAAAGGCATACTGAACTAGTCTAGTAAAATCAACGCTGCGTCGCCCTCTTGCTCAAATCTAGAGTCGCGAAACTTTTAAGCTCGAGTTACAAAACCGTTTCAGTGCCTAGGAGATTGCAATTCAGTGGATGATATGAATGACAAGCTCGTTGAAACTTTCCAAGCGATCGGAGCAAAGTATTATAAGACCCGTTGCAGAAGAATACAAAAACTCTTCGATCACACTTTTAGTCTCACGGCTGTTAGACGGGAAATAAAGTTGCAGTCTTCACTAGATTTGACAGCATACAGACAAATGAACAGGCATGTCTCCAAATGCATGTGGCGGTATTTACGCAACTTAAATACAGCTCGAATTGACGAAGCGATCGACCGGAACCAGGGCTCCAAAGCCTTTGCCAGAGATCTGTCTGCCAGAAAGTGCCAACTGTCAAAGCTGAAGACACATTATTTTTGGAACCATTTCGTAACAATCCAAGAGCAAGTATTATCCGACACTATTCCGATAATATCCCAGACGTCAGCCTGAGCGAGATTAGAATGGATCTCCTTACCTCAGAATGGCTACTACCCGGGCGAGAATGGAATTATAGCGGAGCTTCTGAAAGCGGGTGGAAAACCGGTACTTGAAGTCCTTCAGAAACTCTTTTATTTCCGTCCTCCATGGTGGCATAACACCGGAGGCGTGAAGCAGAAGTGCGGTGGTTTTATTCTTAAAGAAAGGTGACAACGCCCTCTTGAAGAACTACATACCGATTTCCTTTCTGAGCCGCGTCTACGTGCTGTTTTCGAGAGTCATTACGAATCGTCTCGCACGCAGACTTGACGACTTCCAGCCTCCCAAACAAGCCGGTTTCCGAAAGGGCTTTAGCACCATAGACCACAGACATACCCTTCGGCAAGTTGTACAGAAGTTCGAGGAGTACGATTTGCCACTATGCCTGGCGTATGTGGACTATGAGAAAGCCTTTGATTCCGAAATTTGGGCGATGCTATCGGTATATCGAAGTGCTGAAGTGCTTGTACAGTAGAGCTACGATGGCTATCCGAGTACAGAACCAGAGTTTGAAACCTATCCAATTGCAGAGAGGTGTAAGAAAGGGTGACGTTATATTCCCGAAACTCTTCACCACTGCATTGAATGATGTTTTCAAGCTACTGGACTGGAAACGATACAGTATTAACCTCAATGGCGAGAACATCACTCACCTTCGATTTGTCGACAGTATAGTCCTTATAGCAAAATCACTGGAGGTCCTAAATACTATCCTCAATCACCTCAATAGTGCCTCCGAACAGATAAGTCGTAAAATAAAAATGGACGAAACAAAGATCGTGTATAACGTCCATGTTACACTTATGCCGGTAGTTGTTGGGAGCACTAAGTTCGAAGTTGTTGACGAGTATGTTTATCTTGGCCAAATATCCAAGTCGGCTGGGCATCGTTCCAGAAATTACGACACATCTTCTCTTCAGGTGTACCTCAAAACTTGAAAACAAGACTGTACAACGTACTGGTAGGCTAAATGTAGGGCGCCCACTAGATGGGACCACCCACTAGATGGAGTGAGAACCTGGTAAGACATGCAGGAAGTCGATGGATGCAGATGGCTCAGGACCGTGGTCTGTGGTATTCCTTGGGATAGACCTATGTTCACCAGTGGACTTGTGAAGGCTGTAATGATGATGATGATGAATAATGAGCAAGTAACTTGACAAATGTGTGTATGTGTTTTGTTTATGTAGGTGTTTTGTGTATTTTATAATATGTAAATTAGTGTGGTTAATGCGTGGAAGAGTTAAAGAAATATTTGTTTAGTCAATTGTTATTTATTTACATCCAATATATTTTTACAGCTGTCACAACGTGTCCATTTAGCCACGAATGGACACGATTTCTGTTCATTTCAAGTCAGAATCAGGTGTGCTGTAATTATTATCCATGCTTTTCTTTTAAAGATCACTGTATTGTTTTATGTTGCAACAGGTTAACAAATGCACGGAACGTTGGCTGTGAAGCATATTGTTACGGTCTAATAATCTCGACGGACGGTCTCAGAAAGCAACCTCTCTGAGTACTTGATATCGCATTGATAAAATATTTCCTTTCTATTTTCTTCTGTTGCTTACTATGTTGGTATTTAAGCTGAATATTTAAAATCATGTATTTTAGGGTACCGTATTCAAATTTTAAATCAAATTAAAGCATTTATTTCGGATTCTTCATGCTTAATTGCAGTGGCGGTGTAAGAATATCGACCACCCCATATTGTTCCGCGGTTGTAATAAGAGCGACAGAGGGAAACTGGCACAGGAGATGGGCAAAAGCTGTGGTTGACAACCCGCCCACGAAGCGTATTAACTATGGCAGAATCCCCTCTATAAGGAGGCAGCCTATGTTCAACAGTGGACTTTTATAGGATATAATAGATCCTTAATTATTAGTAACAATTTAAGCTTATCCGAGTGTTATTAATATTATTAATGATATAATTAATTTAATCTTGCGCCACATACCCGATGCATGCACGGACGCATAAAACGAAGCTTGTATGTCTGTCTGTCCGTGTGAATGTATATTAGCTTGTCAGTCTGTCTGTCCAAATGTCATTGATCTCTATAAAAAATTTCACTAAAAATAACTATTTTTTTATAGTTACACACCTATGTGAAAATTTTGTGTTGAATATTTACCCAAAATATAATAAAAAATATCGGGGTGTGGTGTGTCGTCGACTCAGTCATGTGTTTACGTGAATACGTGTACGTAACGAAACAACTGCAAAATAGCGGCGATCCCCCCTCCACCGCGCGTGTTGTGTCACAGTCAATGAAATTATATATAAAAAAGCACATTCCTCACTTTTTTCGGTTTTGCTATCGAGTGGTTTCATAAAATGTTGGGTGTAGATGTTAGCACTACTTTCAAACTCTTAATTAGGAGATTACTATGTAACGCGTAGTAATTCGTAAATGGAAGGTCATACACTTACTTGTCAGTGAAGTCACAAGGCTCCAACTATAAAACCAGCGCTGTTTTTGCAGCATTATGCTGAGTTGGAAATATATTTGGTCACATTTTAATTTGGATTTTATTCTTTCCTTTTATTTTGTACATGTACTATTTCTTAATTGTTAATGCGTAAGCAGTCTTAGTTTATAAATAGATAATACACACATACACTGGAATAACCTAGTTAACACATCGATAAATGTTATATAAAGTATATATTTAAATAATACCTACACACATACTTAAACATAAAATATTAAGATGATATTTGACTTTATGGGACAGACACACATCGTTTACTTTTATCATAATGGTAAATAATTTAATAACTATAAATTAATATTCTGTATTCAAACAGACACGCCATGTCACTAGACATTCTGGATTTTTTATAAAAGAAAAAAAATAAGAGAAAAAGAAATAAATCAAAATAAGTAATAACTCATCAAATAATAGAAACATATTAATTATCAATAATATATGAACATAAAAAAGTGTAACACGAATATAAGTCTTACCTATTTACGCTCGAAACAGTTATTAACGTATTTTGTAATTCTAGTACCAACTGATGCAACTTTAATTTTAACAGAGTATTGTGTAGACGCGACACTGTAACAGCATTAAGACTCAGATCTGGACACATTCCATGCAATAAATTTTTATACTTGATGCGAAAAATTACCTCACCAAATTGTTCAGTTTCTAATATTATCGATGATGTTTATCACATTTTGATAGAATGTGCCCAGAACTCAAGAGAAAGAGCAAATTGTAATTTACATTTATCCTTAATTGGTAGTAGTAATAGTATTTTATCCGCCCCGTTATCAGATGATGCCAAAAACTGTATTTGTTAGTTAATAAGAGATTAAGTAACTAGTAAACATAATAAGTTTATTTATTAGTAATTATATTTAAGATTTTAGGGCGGCATAATCGCATCAGCGACAAAGCCCTTTATATATGAATAAAAAAAAACTTTAAATTGTTTTAAAAAGTTGCTGTAAATTTGAAGCTGCTTCGAAATGCAGTTGTGCGGTGTCAAGTTATTACAAGCTAATAAGCGAAAGCTCTTTTTTATATATATTTTGGTCTCGGGCCCATTTTAACTTTTGGAACAGATGCTACTTTAATCCCATATCGAAACTTACGCCGAATGTCTAAGTGAAAAAAAAACTACCGATCAAAATCTTTCCTGCGCTTCTCGGTCGCTTCACAAGCGCGAGTGTGGTTTCACAACGACAATATTCGTATTCTGAGTGACGTGAACTAGATACCCTATTCATTCGTAACGAAATATTACATATTTAATTCTAGCCATGCTGCAAGTACATTATAGATGTACTTGCAGCATGGCTCACGAATGGGTCGGATCGGCCGAGAAAGAACCATGCTCTCACAGAATGCCAGCGTAAAAAAGCGTATGGTGAGTGTATAGAAACGGAGACCGATTTTACTGGAAACGGGGAATTCTGTTTTTGTCCTCAGGGGTGAAAACGCATTTGCATTTTGATACTCAATGGATGAAAATTGTAGATGTCTATGGGCTGTAGCATCCACTTACCATCAGGTGGCCTGTGTTCGTTTATCACTCTTATTCTAAAAAAACAATTATACGCTTATATTTAAGTAGGTACTATCCCAACTGATTTGAAGTGGCGATGTAGCCAAAATGGTTAGCTTAACACACGTCTGTTCACCCTTTTCTTGAAGAAATCCACATTGTAATCGAATAGGAAGAGATATGCTGGCAATTTAGTCCACTTCTTTTCCGTACCAACGCATTTAAACGACAAAGCAAACCATTTGGTTTGAACGCGTAGTATGTTGGAAACAAAGAGGCAGTGGTGGGAGTGATTGGAAGAAATAAGTGATTAAAGAGATGGAATCGTTGGCACATGTGCTCGAGGCTATCGAAATTGGTTTTAACCAGATTTAGGTCATCAATAATCCATTTAGAACGCCCTTTGATACAGTCTAAAGCCTTATAAATTAATATGCATCATCGCATTTTAATCCTTAATCAAAGAAAAATGGAAGTAGTCGTGGGCTATACCATATTTGTGGAAAATGATCTATAGGCTATGGAACTTTTCTACTGGATACAAGGAATTCCGTCTTAGTCCTTAGGGGTGACAACGCGTCAGCATATAGATGTTTAACCGAGGATAAATGTCTATGGGCACAGTATCAACATACCTTAGTGTGAAGTGTGTGTTCATTTGTCACTTTTATTCGATAAATTAAAAAAAAAACAGTTATCATCAAGTGAACTATATGCTTGTTTGTTACATTTATTTGTTAAAATAATGGTTCATAGAATGAACGAAATTTTGAACATTTAACTGGCTGTGAGGAAATCGATGGAAAAAGTTTTGATATAAGTCATCAGTTACCGAGTAAATCGTGCAAACTTTGACGTTTATTTCCTTTGTTTCCATCACTCGCGTTATGATTAATAACTTAAGTACTCCCAACAATTACATTTCACAGACATGAAGAACCTAACCTTAAAATATTAAAATTTGCTTAATTTTAAGTTGCATAAATATAATATTTTTATTAATTGGCTGCAGAAGCATTCAAGATGTGTTTTTTTTTGTGATTAATTGAATTTAATATTCTCTAAATATAAAGCTTTTGAAATCGTAACGAAGATAATTTTGTTTACTTTTAATTTTACTTCGTTTTATTATAACCATTTTTTGAAAGTAGAAGAATGCGGGTTAAGAATGGGTGAGTTAACCGTCAAATGCCTTTTGTACGCCGATGATCAAGTCATACTTGCGTTGTCAGCAGCCGAGTTGCAAATGATGGTTACATTAATGAACAGGACATTAAAAGAAAAGGGAATGAAAGTGAACGCAAGTAAGACGAAAGTTATGGTTTTTGAAAGAGAAGAAAGTAAAACGATATGTGAAATAAGAATAGAAGGGGAGTTGGTAAAGCAAGTATATGCGTTTGTATATTTGGGATGTATGTTTAGCAGGGATGGTAGATATGATAAGGATATAGAACGACGAGTGAATGCAGGAAATAGAATGAATGGGGCTCTACACTCTATTGTGAAAAGTCAGAATGTGTTCAAAAAGGCACGTATGGCAATTTACAATGCTGTGTTAGTACCTACTTTAATGTATGGTAGTGAAAGTTGGGTGTGGCAGAAGAAGCATGAGAGTAGAATAAATGCTGTAGAAATGCGGTCATTAAGGAGTATGTTAGGGATGAAGCTGAATGACAGAGTGAGAAATTGTTTAATAAGAGAAGAGTGTGGTTTGCAAGATGATGTTGTGACCAGGATTAAGAAAGGAATGCTTCGGTGGTTTGGCCATGTAGAAAGAATGAATGAGGAAAGAGTGACAAAGCAAATTTATGTTGCAGAGGTGAACGGCATAGTCGGGAAGGGTCGCCCTAGGCGAAAGTTTATCGACCAAATTGGCGATATATTAAAAATGGGCCAAATCAAGAGTACCTTTAACCGACGAGCGTGTATGCGTAGGTATATGGATGTGGAGGAAGCGAGAGAGGTGTGTCAGGATCGTGCCAAATGGAAGTCCATAATCTCCGCCTACCCCTCTGGGTGATAGGCGTTAGTGTTTATGTTTTATGTTTATGTTTATTATAACCATCGCATATAAAATTTTATGCGTCCCTTTAATCTCTTAATAACTTTAAGGTCAAGACTTTGTGTTATAGTTTTAAACCCCGTTTAACGTGAAATTTAGTTTTCATATCACATACCAGTGTTCTTAGTTTTTGACCCTACATAAACAAACAAACACGTATCGTGAGTGTAGAGAACTGGAGACTCATTTTACTATAATCAAGGAATTCTATCTTCGACTTTGAGGATAGATGTATATGACTATTTATGGGCCACAGTATAAACTTACCATAAGGTGCTCGTTTATTACCTTTTTTCTCATAAAAATAACACTGTTTCTACCAAAACCAAATACAGCAACCCTCTTCAAATAAAAATCAGTAATATTATTTAACGTCGTCATCTACTCGCACAAGTTGCGGGCAATAGCTAGTAATACTTATATAGTATGTATGCCCCATTAAAAACTATTCGAATATGTGATTAATAAAAAATATATTATAAATAATCAAGTGAAATTTTAAAAATTCTGTATTGAATTTTT